GTCGCCTTTTGTTCTAGCTTGTACGTAGAGCACACTGATTTATGGTCATTTTCTAAGCACTGCCCTAATTATGTAAATATTAAAATTGTCGTTTGTAGAACTGTGTTAGCTATGTTCTTATTATAAGCGTTGGTCCGAGAGATATGTCCATCTTCACTCTGTAGTTACTGGTTACTAAATATAGGTTATAAACTTGGTTGGTCTATATACATGACACACATAAGGACAATTTCATCGCTATATACTTAACTGTCAATTGACTGGGGATACTACAAGGCACGTAAATTTTAGACTCGTTACAACATTTTATAAAATGTTTTAGGGGTTTAAAATGGCAGCTTCTGAAAATTCCATGATTATTTTTGTGAAAAAATGTATTTTTATAAACATAAACAATTATCATTTAAAGTTGCGTTTGCCAAAATTTTAATCCAGTGTGTTTTTTTCTTGAGAATGTAACAGACGTCCAAACTAACCCGGTCGAAGAAAAGAAATCTAAAAAAAAGAAATATCAGTTTATCGAGGATTTTAACCCGCAACCTCACGATTGCAATGTTATCTCAGCTACCATTAGGCCTTGGGGTCGTTATTATTCTAATGAAAGTATCCAGAAGTTGACAATCATTAAAATGTATGGGTTAATCGTAATAAATTACGGAAACTAACAAATATCCTCCCAAAAATTTATCAGTCTCAGGTTGATATTGCCAAACAATAGGCAGGAATGTAATTTCGGAGGTGACAATGTTGACAGACCCGCCTTGAAAGAGGCTAATATTCTGAAAGAAAGTCAAGATCACTCTCGGGTAACAATGACTGACTATCTTGCTTATTAACCATTGCTTATCAGCTTTAGTGTCCACCTTTATTTGTCATCCAATGAAAACGTTGTACCATATTTCTTAAAAATTCTGTGCGTTAATTTTCATAGAAGAACAAAAGTCGATACTATATCGAATTCCGTTCATAGTCGACTTCTATTTTTCAAAGTACTTCATAGAACCGCAAAGTGACGTAAGAAAGTGGATACTAATGAGGCCAAATAAAGTATTGACACTAAGAATATTAGTATTCATCCGTAGCTGTTCTACAGAAATTAGAAACATTCTCCTGTCGTCAAAGTTTCTAATTTCTGTAGAACAGTACGGATGAACACATACATATACTCGGGGTGACGAAATAGTACGAGTACACCAAAGTTTTAGTTCCTGTAGGTGTTCGGAAATTTTTCATTTGTCACATTTTCGTTTTTACTTCTAAAAAGATATTTGCCATCTTCACACTTTTTCCGACAATAGGTTAGGGACACAACTAGCACAAACAGTGTTTTGTTGGGGATTTATTCTTTCCTAATTATAAAAGATGAGAAAACTAATTTGAACATTAATGGCAGTTCTAAAGTCGTATTATGTGAAATTATGGACTGATTTTGAGCCTTTTCACTCCTAATTTAAGAGTAAAAAAAGCCTAATGAGGACTTTTTATGTTCTAATCAGAAGTTTAAAAGAGTTTCGCCCGTGCGACCACATACACGCATGGAGGACATATTGGAATGAAAGTGATCGTGCGACCACAAACACGCAAGACACGATTCCCATTCTCATACGAGAAAGAGTCAAAGAGTAGTCCGCCCGTTGTTACAGGGCAGACTTTAAAAATGTGCCATTTCCTTACTGTTGTTGATAAGGAGGCTACTTTTTCAAAGATGTGTCTTGACACAGTATACTCGTATAAACACCTTTAGTAACGCTAACCAACAAGAAAATCAGTTTTCGTCCTTTTAAAATCGCTATGAAATTTTAAAAAGATGATTTATTATTTCTTAGAAAATCTTGAGTTTATACGTTTTTCTATTTTTTATTTTATGTGTATAATAGACTAATTTAATTTTTCCAAACAATATACGTTTCAAAAACATTTAATATGTATTGAAAATATGGGGGATATATTTCACACTTTGTTTGAAAATATTAACGTTCGGGTTATGCTATCCTAACCTCGATTTATCCAACCTGAAAAAAACGTTATGTGAAAGGCTGCAAGGAACAAAAAGAGTCAACTCCAGCGGCCAACAGTGCTTTTACTTTTTTAGAACTATTCATGTACAAGATAGCAATTTAAAAGGTTAGTAAAGAGTCTGTACAGAGTCTGAACAGACTGCAGTGATGTTCATCTTGGCTTGGCGATATACTGGTTTAATTATTTTTTCCCATCAGGGTAAAGGTGCAATGTGGTTTACAGTTATAGCTTAGTTAGAACAAATCGTCGGTCCTCAAATACAATCGTGCCACGTTGAAGACTCGATGCCATATTCCTTGGGAATAGCTTTGTGCCTAATATTACTGTTAAGAAGAATATCAAAACTAACGCGATCGCTTATCATTATCGGAATCACACAAATGGTGTTTTAACACTTGGTTCAAAATAAAGATATGTTGGGTTTTTTTAATGTATACATTTTATATACTAACAAATCGCCTACTGCCTCGCCGTCATTAGGTATTATGTTTGGTATTTGAGTCTAAGAAGATCCTCAAAAGTAATACAGTCTTATGGATCACTACCTTTATGAATGACCTAGCGTTTATTTAAACACGACTGATGTATAAGAGACAAATTCTTGTAATAATGGTCCTCCAACGCACGCGTTAATGTCTCATACCATCTTAATAACGTTTTCATGTATTTTAAGGCCACTGTTCCGTGCCATTTAAAATAATAAAGACTATATTTTTAGGAGGGCAAACGAATTTTACGGCCCTTTCCGCCAGTCTTAGGATAAGGACCTCGAACACAATAGTAAGAAAACTCAGAGTGAAGGCGGTATAACGGCCTTACCTACGCTAAGAAAAAAACCATCTAAACAAATAGCAATTTAAAACGACCATGCTATGCTGTCAAGAAAAAGTCCAAACTAATGTAAAGGCTAATCCGAAACGAAATCAGACATATAGTACGTAAACGGTTGGCACAAGAAAATGTGAGTTTTTTATGAAAGTTTACAGAAAGAGCAAATCAGCAATTCAAAAAGGACCATGCCATGCAGGCATGTACATGACATGTAGTGTGTAAATTTTTACAGAGTTAAAATTTTGTCAGACTGTTATTTGTAGAAACCTTATTTCAGTACAGTTTAATTTAAATATGTTTCACTCTGTATTAGAGTGAATATAAAAAATCAAGCATGAATATTGTTAAATAAATGTACCCGAACATGAATTATATTATGCAAAAATATAGATAGTCAGAGGTCACTATGTAATTGATTAACTTATACGGTCTTCGAGGCGAGAATTGGTCGTATTTAGATCATCACCTGTCTCTTTGTATACGAATCGTTATCTAATTGGGTTATGTCAAATTGAATGGGTCATGTCCGATTCGAGTCAATTGCTAGTAAGATCATATGTTCAACTTATAGCATTTCATCGAAAACTTCAGGTCATCTTAGTTATTGATTCGTCGCACTTTTTCACCATATCTCTTATCAATATTCTACCATTATGTGACCAGGCACTAAACCCCTTTCACTGTTTGCCTAGCCTGGTGGGGCAACTTCGATCTTATCCTGGTGAGATCTTAATTGATAAAAGTACACATTTCTGGAATAATAATTTGCGACTTTCAACAAGATATCGCGCTTTGTGTGTTTAGGACCAACACGCCCTTAGTTTCAGATCTAATTCACTGCCAATATTTAGGACTTTTCAGTAGGTATCGTCATCTTCAGAATCCACACGTCCGGATATGTGAATAATCTTTCTTCTTCTAAACCTTTTGGTCTGGTGTAATCTAGCCTCTGAAAACTTAACTTTTTCACTTATTTTTTATTATTTATATTTGCTAGATAAATTTGGATACAAGACCATCCATTATTTGTTTGCTAAACTCCTCTTGTTTTTTATCCAAAGTGTCATGGGTGATCTCTCTGATTTCCTGTTTAAATGATTTTTAACCGTTTATGCTATACATGTACATGAAAGGTCATTTATTGAAAGAATAAATTAAGTTTTCTTTTTAAAACGATCTTGGAATTTTGTACAAGATTTCATTAAGTTTGTCCAGTGTCAGTTTTTTTATTATATTTTTGGACTTTTTTTCTGATATTAAAAGTACACTGTAGCATATTCCGTATTTCTAGTTTAATAAGTTTAATTAAATAACTGTTTAGTCCTCATTTTTAGTTTAAGAATACATTTGTAAAATCTTGTGTTCAAACTAGGCCACAAAGTCAAATCCATGATAAACAATGCAATTCATTTAGAAGTCACTGTTTTGTGATCAATTAAACTCGGGTGTTTATGGCCCGCTTGTTCTCTGAAAATATTTTCATTTTCTCAAATTTGTAAAAAAACAACCAAAACATTAAATCTGACAAACTTGATTACTCTCATTGGTAAATAACTTTGCAAAGCAATTTTGCATGATTATGTTCCCTATTTTGCTTGACTTATTCATTCGAAATATGAAGCATGCAGTCCGGGGACAGGTTTGGTTGCAACTTGTTTTGTCAATTAAGTGCAAAATCACGCCCACTTTTAAAGGAGGCGTGTTACTCATGCATAAGTATCGTCTCCTCTACTTCTGCAACTAAATATTTCATTAATTATCTAGATATTTTGGCTGTATATCGTGCATGATGTCTAAAATCCTTTGATGACAGTACTGGTCAACATGAAGTTGACTACACTGACATTACTTTTGGGAGATGCCCATTCCTGGTACGATAAATGTAAAAGCTTGTATAATAAATACCTTTTATAACATTTTCATAATCATTCAATTAATTAAAACAAACAATGTATTTCCTCACCGTAACGGGTACACCAATCTGAAAGTAAATAGTAACAATGATAACATATCTTATAACACCAATACCTAGATAAAACTCTACTGTTTATGACTGATAATCGTGTAATATGTACATGTCCAACCTGTTTATTATCAATGTCACAACATACATATATTATGTAAATATTATTTTATCACTCTCTTTGACACTTTCGCTATTTCATTTGTATTTGATGTATAGTATCATAAAATTATAAAAATGAAAGGGTTTATAATAATTATCTTCTTATATTCAAAGGTATGTTTCTTTTCAGTTTCTTTGTTTTTGGTTTTGTTTTGTTGTTATGTTGGTGTTGGTGGTGGTGGCTTTTTCTTTGATTGCTTTGTAGTTTGTTTTGTTGTAAATGTTGTTGTTGTTTTTATCGTGCGTACGCTTATTTGTTGAGGGTTTTATATTGAATCTCTTTATCCATTAGCATGAACAGGCTAAATCAAACCGAGCCTGCAACATTTTCAATTTTGCCGCGTTGTCTTTCTTGAGGGATTCTTTTTCACTCTATTTTGTCATATAGATTTCAATAAGCTGAAAATATACTCCGAAATGCCAAAAGCTGGATTTATATTTCGTATACGAGTATTTCATACTGTTAGTTTTCTGTAGTACAAATGAAAATCATATTTATTTAATCATATTCTGGTTGCAGACTTTAGACGGAAGCAGTATTTGTGATAATAACCCTTGTCGTCCAAACGGAGCATGTTCAGTTTCAGTAAGCTCCCCAGGCTATAAGTGTTCCTGTTATCCTGGTTTTATACCGCCAAACTGTGACGATCGTGACGAATGTTCTATGGCATCTAATTTGTGTCAAAATGGCACATGCACGAACAACCCAGGCTCGTATTCCTGTATCTGTAACACAGGATATACAGGTGTTCATTGTGAAAAACAGACAGATCCTTGCTTGTTGAATCCATGTGAAAATGGGGGCACCTGTCAACCAGCGACTGACGGTACATTCTTGTGCAAATGTTTTGCTGGATTCGATTCAAACTACAACTGTAGAGATATCAATGAATGTTCGATAGCTTCTAGTACTTGTCATAATGGTACGTGCCAAAATACTTTAGGTTCTTTTAAGTGTTTGTGTAATTCCGGGTACCAAGGGGTGCACTGCACGCGAGATATCAATGAATGCGACAAACATCCGTGTAACAATAACAGCGCATGCGTGAACAATGCAGGGTCGTATAAATGCATGTGTTATCGAGGATATGGTGGCTCAGATTGTGTAGACAGGGATGAATGTTCTTTGTCAACCAGTATTTGTAGCCATGGAACGTGTGTGAATACACCAGGTTCATTTAAATGTGTGTGTCAAAATGGTTATAGTGGTCCTAGATGCAAAGAAGATATAAATGAATGCTTGAATTCTCCATGTATCAATGGCTTGTGTGTAAATACAGAGGGATCATTTCAGTGTAAGTGCAACAATGGTTTTCAAGGAAAACTTTGCGAAGAAAAAATAATAGTTACATCCACAACTGTGAAGTCCACGACTTCTAAACAAACAACTCACAAAGTTTCACTTTTACTGTCTTCAATATTTGCTTTTTCATCAACTTCTCACTTTGAAGCCACATCTGCTAAAACCATGAAAACGTCGTTAGTAAGGACTCCTCCAACCTCTACCGTACCTGCGGTTACTTCAAAAACATTTTTACCAACATCCGATATACATGCTTCAGTGACTAGTTCTTCATCTAGCTCATATTTGACAGTGTCAAAAGTATATTCGCCTCATTCTGTACAAAAACCTGACATAACAACTTCACCACTAGGCAATAGTCAGGTTGCAGACAGCTGGACGAATATGCAAACAACCAGAAATAGTAGTGTAAGTAAATGTATGCTTATATAATTTTGCAAATGACTTTTTTAAGCTGACATTAATCCAATGTACCTTAATATCACCACATTGAAAACGTAAGTTTGCTTTTCGAAATACAGGCACAAGTTAAAAAATATAGGCTCCAAAGAAAGGTACAATGATCAGAAGTAGCAGATGCTTTTTCTTGCGAGATAAAGCACACATAAACTGTCCTGGCTTGAAGTTCGTTACCGGTCCATTTCTAATAAGTAAAGTAAGTTAACTGACAGTCTCATTTTCAATCAAATACTTAGTAGCTAAAACAAATTTATTTTAATAAAGGACAAACATGATTTTTATAATATTTAAATAATGATGGTTTAAGAGACTGTTTGATACTTGTTACCTGACGAAAGAAGTGATAAATGTGAACTAATCGTCATAAAAAAGCATAATATAAACAAATAAGTATTTTGACTTCTATACAAAATAAAAAATCACTGTACTTATTGCAAAAAAACTACAAAAACAGATGAAGTCGATTGCTGAGGTTTTTGGCCAGTGAGTAATGTTTTGGATACTATATTAAGTACACCAAATTTAAAAAGCTTTTGAAAAATAAGAAATAAAGCATTTCCAGGGCATAATGGGCTTTTAAATTCATTTTTTACTTCTCAGCTAAGTATTGTTATCAAAAACTGTGTAATTAGTTTTGTCACTCATGTCACTAATTGATTATGACATTTCAGCCATGGGCACAGAACCATTGGTATATTTTTGTATTGGTCGGTGTTGTATTGATAACAGGAATATTAGTATCTCTGGTTGTGGTCAAGAAAAGGTACGTAAACGCTCCTTCCAGTTCGTTTGGACAACATAGATTGTAGTTCTTAAAACGAATCGTAAACTCATCATTTTATCAAAGTATCTAATTTATTTTGTTTAAGATTAGACATTGAAGATATCTGTAGATAACATTTTGATGCTGATTTTTGAAAACACGACTTAAATCTATTGATGCTCTTTGTTGTGAGGAACTGTGAGTTGAACAAAATTGTAACTTTTGTGTTAGTGCAAATGCAGAATAAATTTAAGTTCATGTGCAAAATAAATATTTATGTTACAAAGTTCGTCCTTTACAGACTGCGGAAGGCGTCTGGGTTTACTCGTCTTAACGGTTCACTCGAGGTAACAAGTACTTCGACAGTAAAACAAATTCAAGCAGAGAATCCACTGTATATGGAGTTCCATGGACATGACTCTGGAGCATCAGATCTTTAGAAATAACTGTTTAATACTTTGTTTTTAACTTCAGTTCGAATATAAAGGTCGGCGTCGGGATTTTCTTGCTTAAATTTTGTCTAGTTAACAGTTTGCATGCAGGTTGCATCTCAAGATGCATGGATTGGATTCAAACAACATACATGCATTTCCAGAATTATACCGATAGAAATATCTAAGTCCCGAGTCTACCCTCTGTAAAGTAAGAACGATAACCTCTAGTACATTTAACGTTTTTATGACTCTATTTTATCTCCACAGCTACTTCAAGTTTTCTTTGAAATTCAGGTCTGAATTCAGGTCACTCTTTGAGACACATTTCTTTCCAATAAATTTAATTTTGTTAAATTAATCATCCTTAGGACATGTTGCCTGTTTTAGTCCCCTGCCACTCACACCGAAAGGGACTATAGGTTTACCCTCCGTACGTTTGACCGTACGTAAGTATTGAATGTATTTTTAAGAAGCTTGAAATAAATCTAGATTACAGTAAGAGATTATGCATGTCAATGTTCACTACTCAAGCACCAAAAATTTGAAAATGAATAACCTTGAATTTAGAATTTTCATGAGAAATGTGTATTTTGTTTCCTATAACTTCTTTATTTTTTGATGTATCTACTTAAAACTTCAAGTTTATCTTCTTTATATTCATTTAAATCATATATTAGAAGAATCAACATGTAGCTTGACGATTTCTTGAATTATGACCCATTGAAATTTATTTGAAAATTGTTGTTGTTGTTTAATTTTCTTCTTTGTTACTTTAAATTGTATATATTTAAAAATTATTTCTGTTTTTCATTTTTTGCCGTTGTTACTATAAATTGTATCTACTATAGACATAAGATATTTGTTTTTTGTCATCACACTCGACATGTATGATAAGGTTCATAAGTCTAGCATCTTAATTTCAAGAGTTATCTCCTCTTTAGTTTAAGAATTTTGCTTTTAAAAATGTTATATTGTGGTTACAACAAGGCAAGTGTAAAATTTGCCCTCTGTCTCTTCGTCCGTTCCTAAAAACTGTTTCCTGATCACTTTGAAAGAACTCAGAACTTTACTAAACAAATTACTTTAAATAGAGAAAAGTTGAAACATTAGATTAATCAGTTTCATCCTTCTGAGAAAATTGGATATTTTGTTTATCTTTTGTATAAACATTATTTCCTTATTAGGCAGAGAAACTAAACACATTAATATGATACAGGTACAATAAGAACTCTAGTTCATTCATGTCACAATGGCATAATTGAATGACCGTTGCCCTTCAAAATTGCACTCTGAGGAAATATAGATACATATTAAAAGATAGCCAACAGCAGAAAACCTAAGTGGCAAACGTTATTCACTTTCGGTTCCAGCAACCGAGTGAGGATTTAAACTAGCCTAAAAAGTGTTACACAGATGTAACTTCAACACATGTATTTCATAGTAAATGAGTATCCATTGAAAATGGCATTCTTTATGATTGTCTGCTAATTTCAATCTTATATAATGTCTCAACCAATACATGGTTAGAGGGTGAGGGGTAAATGTAGGAAACATTTTGTCCTGTCGCTGCACGTTCTAAGAACTCAAATTATTCATTTCGAAGGTCAAAGAAGTTAAACAGGCCAATATTAGAACTGTTAAAATTGTTTTATGACAAATGTATGTCCTTCTCCTTTACTTCACTTGTTTTTTCAGTTAAAACCAACTAAAACAAAACAAATCTTGACTGGTTTTTTTCTACTAAATTTTGACTACTAGTAAGAGAATGTATTGTTCTAAATTTGAAATTTGATGACATACAATGTTCCGCTATGTCTTTTTCCACTAAGGGTTTGTAGAAATGATATAATGTCCTCATTGCAGTCTTGTATCTCTTAGCAACCCCACTTTTTTCTATGATATATTGATTTGCAACTTATCCGTTTTCCTCTTCGGTATGACTGACTACCTGTTTCAATCCTCTATATAAAAAGGCAAAGTAATTTGCCTTTGATTTATAAAATGATACAATCATGTCCGTGAGGAAACATATCTCTATCATGAGGGTCAATTAGTTTAATTATATGTTGTATAGCATTTTATTATATAAGTGTGTTATAAATCGTCTGAAACTACAAAGCCAAGAGATTAAATATTTGGCATGACTGTGACATCAAGTTGTGGTCTTTAAACAAATTATATGAATAAAGCCCCTGGGTCAAAATTAGCCCCGTCCAACATCTTTGATCATATTGCATCTGTTTTTTCTCTAAAAGTATAAAGTAAGCCCTGTCCTGTGTCAATGTTTAGGCTAGCAGGAACATAAAGTTATATAATATTTAAATTACATTTAAGATAAGAAAACAATTTGCCCATAGAAGCTGCTAAAGAATTTGCATAATATCAATACACAAACTCTGTAAATATATTACCTTCCTGTATTTCCTGTGTCAAATAATGTATGTTATATAGATTGTATATGCACGCCTTGTAAACCATAGAGCTACATCTTTCGGAGGTATACGATAAATTGCCCTGCCACTACTTCCGAGCTAGTTCATTTCGCCAAATGTTGTCTTGGCCATGTTCATCATAAATGATAAATCCTTACTCTGACCTTTTAAGAATAACAACATATTTAACTAATAAATTGACATGTGTTCTTTTGTTATCAAATATCTTGTGGTGTAATTCTTATTGTGTCCACTTATCTGAGAATTAGAACAGAACAGAACATAAGTTTATTAATAAATCGTGTGCGAACAGCATATTGATTAAACAATAATATTTTACATGCATGCATAAAAGTATGTAGTTAGAGCATATACAAGAATTGAATCAATGCATAGTTCTAGATAAATACAAAGCCTACATATATTGATAGATTTGAGAGATTCGGCTTTGCTATTTCTAACTATTCATATACAATTATGATAACGAAAATGTCAAACATGGTAATTGTTATTTCATATGACACAGTATTTGAGTTTAGTATTTTAATTTACTTTTTGTATTTAAGAGAGCCTTTCTTTCTTCAAACGCTTTGGTTAAATATTTTGCCAGTCTGTATAAAATATGCACATCACTGGATGATAATTGATCAATGAATTTAATCATGTTGGCCTTGTTCTGTACCAATGTAGTATATACTGTCTTCCTATGTTATTATACATTGGGCATTGTAATATGAAGTGGAATTCATCTTCTATTGTTCGTAGAAGACATTATTTACACAGACGCTCGTTCCTAGGAATGTTCCTATGCCTACCTTGATCAATTTCAAGGCAATGAGAGGACAACCGCATTTTCGTTATTACATTTCTATATTTCTTATTTTCCATTATATTTCTAATTCATTAGAATTAGACGGGTAAGGTTTCTATGCATGTATTGTCAGAACTGGCCAAAGGTTTGTTCCAATTTGTTGAATAAGAACAGAGACTATTTAAGGTAGAGGATTGTTTCAATATAAATATGGGAATGTATCTTTATTTTCATGTCGTTATTTTAACTAACGGTTGCTGCTATAAATATTGCTATTACATTTGATTACGTCATGTATTGATAATTTCGGTAGAAATAATTAGTTATTAAGTTAATAAGACGTTTTGAATAATTTACATTAAAGCTATGTTTACTAACTCTTTATTTATTGTTGTCTTTTCTCCCTTCACTAAATTGCCAACTTTCTTAGTAACTAAATAATGCTGAGATGCCTAAAGCAATTAGACTGTCAACTCGAAGAACTATCTTCTACAAGTACAAATGTTGCTGCAATGCAGCAATTGAGAAGCTCCTCGCAAAAAAAAATGTGCTCATTACAGATACCTTACCAAATTATTCCTACACACAGGTCATGTTATATTCAGATTAAGTACTATTGTAGATTTTTTCCGAATGTTTTGTAAACCATTTTTTGCATAATTATACTTATCTTATGCAATGTCCATAATTAAAAAGAGGGGAAAGATATTTAATATAAAAAATGCTTTCACTGATGCCTACCTGGCAAGGAAAGTAATTCCATTGAATACAAACAAGACTTACAAGACTTGTAAATGTTATGTGACATGACTGAACTGTGTTCTGTTTGTGTCACTACTGTAGTCAGTAACATAAGATGATGAAAATATCAAAGTCTGTTTTTTTATTATTATTATTGTAACAAATATACAAATAGTAACAAAAGGGACTAATATTATGATATAGTAATATTACATGCATTTTTTTCATGTCAAATTAAAAAAAATGGTTTCTTTCAATACCGAAAGTAGAACACACTCTGGAATGAAAAAATGGGATGAATTTCAAAAAGACCAAATTCAGGATTGTTTTGTTTGTTATACACGCGTTACATGGTGATACAGTATTTATCAATATAATAGAAGACTGTTACCTTAATTTTAGGCAGGTATGAGGAAATTCACTTAACATCATGTTCGTGCGAGACAAAGATATGAAAGCTATTTGACATTGGTAATATATATCAAAAAAAAACTATTGCTAATTAATTTATGGGGATATCAATATATATTTTTGTTGAATTGCTTTAAAACCATTTATAAAAAAATGTCACCAGTCATACCCTTATTTTTTTTTTCTTTTTCACAAAGTGAAACACAAATAGCTCCGCGCCTGCGCGGAGCAATAAAAGGTGACGTTTTTTTTTGGGAATAAAAACCTGTATATTGTTTTACTTCTACCATTGACTTTTATATACACTTCCACAGCGTTTTTTATGACCCCGCTATAAAAATTGCAAGCGGGCATATAATGTTCCCCTGTTTGAGTGTGCGTGTGTTCGGAAACATTGTCGGGCCCATAACTCTGTCATGCATCATGGGATTTTAAACGTTTTGGCAAAAGTGTTTGTGTTGCATGGTTAGACGGTGTATCATGCACAAGATCTAGACCTTTAGCTCAAGGGTCAAGGTCACACTTAGAGGTCAAAGGTAGGCAGTAAGGAAATCTTGTCTGACCCATAAAGCTGTCATGCATCAGGGATTTTGAAAT